CACATTGATTCCAACCAAAAAAACTGAACATTTCTTCTCCAAAACAACTCATCTAGCTCTCCGGGAAACTGCATTGCATCAGACCTGGTTTCTCTTGAACAAATGACTACTCCAATAGCTTCCCTTCTACCTCCTGTGTTCAACAATGAACACTACCATATTTGGTCAGTCAAAATGAAGGCTTACCTGAGGGGCCAAGGACTCTGGCAGTAGGTAGAGGAAGAGAGACAACCCCCTCAGCTGGGACCAAATCCCACTCTCAACCAAATTCGAATGCATGAAGAGGAAGCATCAAAGGCTCCAAGAGCCCTGTCCCACATCCATTCAGCTATCACAAACCTTGTTTTCACAAGGATTATGGCATACGAAACAGCCAAGGAATCATGGGACAAGTTAAAGGAAGAGTTCATGGGAAGTAACACTACAAGAAACATGCAGGTTCCGAATTTGAGAAGGAAGTTTGAATCTTTAAGAATGCAGGAGGCTGAGAAAGTGAAAGAATATGTTGACAAGCTAATGAACATTGTCAACAAAATCAGATTACTCGGAGTGGAGATGTTAGACAGCAGAATAGTGGAGAAGGTAATGGTGAGCTTGCCGGAAAGGTTTGAAGCCAAAATCTCATCCTTGGAGGACTCAAAAGACCTGACTCATATCACATTGACTGAGCTGGTCCATGCTCTGCAGGCACAAGAGTAGAGAAGGCTCCTAAGGCTAGAGGATGCAAATGAAGGAGCAATGTTAGCAACCTATAAGGGCAAGACTGGACAAGGGAACTACAGGAAGTTTGCTGGAGAAAAAAGAGGAAAAGAAAGGGCTAATAACCAGTGGAATAAAACTAGTGGGATGAAGAGTTTTCCAGTCTATTCTCATTGCAAAAGAAAGAGACATGCAGAGTACAAATGCTGGTTCAGACCTAGTATACAGTGTAGGGCCTGCAAGCAGTTTGGCCATATTGAGAGAGTGTGCAAAAACAAGGGAGAGCAGTCCCAACAGCAAGCTCTAACAACTGATGAACAACAGCCAGTGCAGGAGGCAAAACAACTGTTTGTAGCCTCATCAAATCTGGTCCAAACCCATGATGATACATGGCTAATTGACAGTGGGTGCACACATCATATGACACCAGACTTGAGCTGCTTTGTGAATATAGATCACTCTCATCAGTCAAAGATTAAAGTTGGGAATGGAGAATGTGTGGAAGCAAGAGGCAAGGGAGATGTTGCAATCCAAACTCCAAAAGGTACAAAGCTAATCTCAAATGTACTTTATGCACTTAATATAAGTCAAAGTCTTTTGAGTGTGGGAAAAATGTTGGAAAAGAATAATGCACTGCATTTTCAAAAACAATCCTGCATTATTCAAGATAGTGAGGGTAATGAGATTTTGAGGGTGAAAATGATAGGGAAAAGGTTTCCAATAATGTGGAAAGTTACACCACACACAACATGCAATGTTAGAGAGGATGAAACTGAAATGTGGCACAAGAGATTAGGCCATGTACACTATAGAAACTTGAGTGAAATGCAATTTAAAAATCTAGTCTAGAATCTACCTATTGTTGAGCAGCCGAGAGGTGTGTGCAAAGTGTGTCAAATAGGTAAGAGGAGTAGGAAACCATTCCCAGTGAACCAAGCTTGGAGAGCCTCTGAAAAACTCCAGCTTGTTCACTCGGATGTATGTGGCCCCATGCAAACCTTATCACTCAATGGGAGCAAGTACTTTGTATTGTTCATAGATGATTGGTCTAGGATGGGGTGGATTTATTTCCTAAGACAAAAAAATGAGGTGGCTGGAACATTCAGAAAATTCAAACTAGAAGTAGAAAATTTGATAGAAAAATCCATCAAAACCTTGAGAAGTGATAATGGCACTGAATACACTTCTCAAGAGTTTGAAAAAATCTGCAGTGAAGCTGGAATAAGACATGAATTTAGCAGCTCATACACTCCACAACAGAATGGAGTTTCTGAGAGGAGAAACAGGACAGTCATGGAAATGGCAAGATGCTTAATGGCTGAAAAAAAACTTACCAAACCATTTTGGGCAGAAGCAGCAAACACAAGTGTCTACCCACTCAACAGAATTCCCACCAAAGCCTTAAAAAACCAAAGACCTTTTGAAGCTTGGACTGGAGTCAGACCAACAGTGGATGAACTGAAGATTTTTGGAAGCCTTTGCTACGTCCTAGTGCCATCTGCAAAGAGGACTAAGCTGGAGGATAAGGCTGTGACTGGAATATTTATTAGCTACAGCAGCCAATCCAAGGCTTACAGGATTTATATTCATGACTCTAGAAAAGTGGTGGTGTCCCGAGATGTTAAGGTTGATGAGAGAGGAGTCTGGAACTGGGAAAAGGGTAGAGCTGATGTAGATACACAACCTCAACTGAGTGAGGTTCAACCTGATCAAATTGAAGAAGATTCAGGGGAGGAATCAGAAGAAGAAGTTACTATTAGAGGAACCAGAACACTAGCTGATATGAATGACAGGTGCAAATTAGCACAAATGGAACCTACAAGTTATTTAGAGGCTGCACAATCAGAATCCTGGAGGAGTGCCATGAAGGATGAGCTTGCCATGATTGAGAAAAACAAAACCTTGAAGCTGGTGGACAGACCAGAAAATAGAAAGGTTATTCATGTGAAATGGATTTTTAGAAAAAAAGGTGAATCCAGATGGGTCAATTCTGAAGCATAAGGCCAGGCTTGTAGTTAAGGGATTTGCTCAGCAATAAGGAGTGGATTTCCTGGAGACATGTGCTCCTGTTGCACGGCATGACACCATTAGGCTGCTACTTGCAGTGGCTGGTCAATTCTCCTAGAAAGTGTACCAAATGGATGTAAAATCTGCCTTCTCGAATGGCTGGTTGAATGAGGAAATCTACATTGAACAACCTGAAGGGTATGTGATCCAAGGAGAAGAGGGAAAGGTGTATTTGCTGAGAAAGGCCTTGTATGGCTTAAAACAGGCTCCAAGGGCCTGGTACAGCAGGATTAATGACCACTTATTGAACTTGGATTTTGTTAGGAGTCCAAATGAACACACTCTATACATTAGAGAAGCTGAAGATGACTTGATGATCATTTCATTGTATATGGATGATCTTCTAGTAATTGGAAGTAATCAAACTCAAGTGGATGAATTCAAGAAATCCATGCAAAGTGAGTTTGAAATGACTGACTTGGGTGGAATGTCTTACTTTCTTGGAATGGAGATTGATCAACAAGTGGATGGGATCTTTGTGAATAAAAAAAGGTATGCAAGTGAAGTTTTGAAAAAGTTCTGCATGGAAAAATGCAAACCGGTAAATCTGCCTCTGGTTCCAAACTTAAAGCTGTCAAAGGATGAGGATGGTGAGAAGGTTGATGAAGGTTTGTACAGGAGTTTAATAGGGTGTCAGCTGTATTTGACAGCAACTAGGCCATATTTGATGTATGCAACCAGTTTGCTATCCAGGTTTATGAGTAAACCAACTGAAACACACTTCAAAACAGCAAAAAGGATGTTGAGGTATGTAAAAGGAAGCACTGATTATGGGGTGTGGTTCAAGAGATTAGAAGACTTCAGTTTAGTTGGTTATTTGGATAGCGATTGGGCTGGTTCGACAGATGATATGAGAAGCACTTCAGGATTTGCATTTTTCCTGAATCATGGTGCTATCTGCTGGCTTTCCAGAAAGCAGGAAACCGTGGCTTAATCCACAGCTGAAGCAGAGTATATATCCGCTGCTGCAGTTGTGAATCAAGCCATTTGGTTGAGAAAAGTCCTTGATGATTTGAAGCTGAAACAGAACAAAGCTACTGCCATCATGTGTGACAATCAATCTGCAGTAGCTATGGCCAAGAATCCTGTGCAACATGGACCAAGAAAGCATATAAAAATAAAGTTCCATGCAGTGAGAGAGGCTGAGCAAAATGGTGAAGTGAAACTGATTCATTGCAGAAGTGAATTGCAAGTGGCTGACATTATGACCAAAGCTGTCTCCAAAGCCAAGTTTGAAGAATTCAGATTCAAACTTGGTATTTCCAACCAACCATCAAGGAGGAGTGTTGAACATTGAAACATGGCTGGAAATGCAGCAGTTTAGTTAAAGTTTTTGAATGTGTGTTGGCGGCAAAACCTGAACTGAAGTCTGCCAGGGGTCTATTTGATATGCTGCATGTTTAGCTCATTTTGTAAAAGTGTGATATGCATTCCAGATTGTAAGGGATGTTTTGATGCAGCAGTTGGTAGTTGATATAAGTGTGTGGCTTTAGATTAATTTAAGTTATTATATGTCTGCAAAGTAGGTATAAGTCAGTGTTAAACTTTGCTTTATTAGCTGTAATGTAAACATTTTTCGTAATGCAGAAAAACACAACTCTCTTCATTCAGTTCAGCTCTCTTTCTTTTCTTTGTTAAACTCCAGAGCAAAAACAACAAAAGAACATTTGGCGCCAAAAACTTTTCAAACTCCTAACTGAAATTCTGATGCATTTCCAACAAAATATCACTACATCAACACTGATTAAACTTTTCTTATTAACCTCAGCAGCTACACTTTACAATTTATACTCATAATTGCTTCGATCCATGTCAAAATAAATCTCTAACATTCATAAGAGAATTAAACAAACCCAAAACTCTATATTTTAAGCCCTTCGATCTTGTTTAGAGAGAATCTTTTCTGTTGAGGCGTGTTCTGTGTTGAAAAAGAAGAAGACCACGTGTGCTGTTGGTTGGCGTCAAGACAATTGCTTTTGAAGACTTGCTGCTGAACCTTTTTTGAAGTAAAACGACTCCGTATTTTTCAGGGATAAAGGAGCAGAAATACGACACCAGAGTTTGTCATTTTTAGCTTGAGTTTGAGGCTTGGATTCACAGTCAACAATACATAATACTAATAGCCTTCTTCATCGCGCTTCTTCTTCATCGTGTCTTCCTCTTCTACCAAAAGGATTCAAACTTCAACACCTTCCATTAAATTGCTCGAATCCATCATTAGAACCAACTCCTATATGCAAAAGCTCCATGACGAATCTGACAGAATAATAGAAAACATTATCAATGAATGTAAGAAGTCTGACAGGAGCGAAGGAGATGAACATCTGGCTGACGTTCTCTTGAAACTTCAAGAGCAAGGTGATATTGAACACTCGTTGACTACAGAAAATATCAAAGCGGTAATCTTTGGTAAGTACTTTTGCCTCTCCGAATATACTTGAATGCATAACTTAATTATAGGCCTTTAACTGTTTTACTCAGACTCATATATAAATTCCTTATCAGGACATTTTCGCTGGTGGCACTGAGATATCTTCTACAGTCGTAGAATGGGCAATGGCAGAACTGATAAAAAAATCCAGAATTAATGGAAAGGATGGAAGCTGAAGTAAGAGAAGTCTTTAACGGAACAGGGAAAGGTTGATGAAATTGGCATTACTGAAATGATTTTCTTGAAGCTAGTGATAAAAGAGACTATGAGGTTACATCCTGCTGCTCCTTTGTAGCTCCAAGAGAATGTAGAGAGACATGTGAGATTGATGGATTCAATGTACCCGCCAAAACCAAAGTCTTTGTCAATACGTGGGCATTTGAAAGATATCCAGAGTATTGGAACGAACCTGAGAGTTTTATTCCAGAAAGGTTCATTGGTTGTTCTGTTGGGGACTAATTTTGAGTACATACCATTTGGTGCTGGAAAGAGGATGTGCCCCGGGGTTCCTTTTGGTCTAGCCAATTTGGAGCTTCCTCTAACAATGTTGGTATACCATTTGACTGGAAACTTCCTAATGGAATGAAGCATGAAGATCTGGACATGATGGAGCGCTTTGGTGGGACAGTCAGAAGGAAGAAGGATTTGTGCCTGATTCCCATTCCTTATCGTCCGAACTCTGTTCCATCGGCTCAAATGAAAGGAATAACGGTTCATTTATGTTACCTCGCACCGTTTACCATAAAAATGTGATCCTTTTTGGGCAAAATAAGCGAAAAGAAACACAAAATGAAACAATTCTAAAATTCAGAAAATTGTATTCATCCTTTCTAAAGGCTTTCATGTGACGTTTATGACAAAACTAAAATATTATACAGACTCATCTATGGATAGCCCAAATGGTTAAGGTGAATTAAGGATAATATGGATAGATGCACGGTCTCAGATTTGATTCCCCATCTAAGCATCTACGATTTAAGTAGGGGACCATAGTGGTGTGTTGTTGTACTAATCTCTCCCAAGGATTAGTCAAGGAGGACGGTGGTGGTAGGTTGCTGCACTAGTCTCCCTCAAGGATTAATCGAGGTGCACGTAAGCTAGCCTGAACACCTTGGTTACAAAAAATAAATAAATAAAAGTAAAATATACAAAAATGAAATTTAAACAGAAATCTAGCTATACTTGACACAATTTGACAAATAAAAACTTAATATATTGTTTAATAAAAAATTTAAGAGAAAAAAGAGTAAATTTCACTTTCCAAAATTAACACATGATTATATCAACTTTTAAGAGTAAGATCGTCATTATACTATAAAGGATTTTTCCGTAATTTCAAAGCTAACATGGTAATAAGGGGTGAAAAAGTAATTGACTCAATTTAACTTTACACCTGTGACGCCATCTAAACAGAGAGCCATTTTTAGTGGGGCTAAACGCTAATCACTCAACAGGTGCATAATAATAACCCTAAGGGGGCGTTTGGTTCGAGGAATGTTAGATTACTAGGAATGTTGGATTACTGGAAAGATAGATTACCTTGAAGATTATTGGGAATCTTTAGGAAAATGTGTTTGGTTAGTTGGTGGGTATGTTATATTAATATGTTTGGTTATAGGGAATAAATTGGTGGGTATGTTATTTAAATTACTAAATTGTCCCCTTTTAAAATATTAATATAATATTATTTTTATTATTAATTTTTGAATAATTCCTTTTAACCCCCAATATTTCAGATTTAGCTAAAACACCCCCGCTTATATAAAACTTTAATTTATGACAAAATCACCCCCACCTCCTGCCGCCACCGCAAACCACCGTCGGAAGTCTCCGAAAGTCCCCATGAGTAGCTCACCGTGACCAAGAGCTCCGAGATGGCAGTTTCTGGCCATATTGATGAACGAAAACAGCCATATCTAGTCGAAAATGGCCAGATCTATTTTGACTATTTTCAACCAAATTGATGGATCTGGCCATTAACGCCAAATTCTTGGCCATTATCGGTCAGATCTGGCCATTTTCGGCTAGATACAGCTTGATATGGCCGCTTTTGGCCATCAATATGGCCGGAAACTGCCATATCGAAGCCTCCCGGAGCCTCCCACCGAATCTTGTTCTTTATTAGGGACTTCGACGACTTTTCGGCTGTGGTCCGTAGTGGTTGGCCCGCTGTCAACGGTGGTGGCTGGGTGGCAGTGGTGGTGGTGGCTGGGTGGCAATGGTGGTCTGTAAATTGTTTTAAATATAAGGGCATTATTGTCCAAAATTTTAATTAAACAAGGGTAAAATTGAAATAGGATATTAATGTAAATTTCTTTTAAAATAGGGGCATTATTGTCCAAAATTTTTATTAATAAAGTATAAAATTGTAACAAAAAAGATAACACTGGTAATCTTAAAATACCTAAGAAAATGGAGGTAATCAAATTACCTCTAATATTACCAATAGTAACCACTATTGGTATTTGAAGATTACCGGTATCTTATATTACTTGACAACCAAACTTGATAATCAAGTAATATAAGGTCACTTACCTCCAGTAATATCAAATACCCCCTAACCAAACGTCCCCTAACAATATTCTTCAAATTTAATCCTAATTTTGTGTCATATTTAAGAAATCACTACTAGATTTAACTTCTATACATTCATGAACACGTGATTTGAGATTCGTGCCCTGTTTTTACTTTTTTTTTTCTTTAATTAACTATCAGTTATAATCTATTTTGCCTTTTCCCTTGTAATCAGATGACAAATCTTTTAGTCAGTGGGGTTAACTTTATCCTCTTGTATCATTTTGCATTTGAGTTGCAGGAAAGATAATTACCGGGTTTACCAAAAAAAATTATAATCTATTTATTTTTAATTCCATTTACTCCAAAATCGGTTCAATATTTTATCCAATCTTTCTGATAAATAATTGGAAGTTGTTGAAAATACAAAGAAAAAAAAATAAGCAGAGCATCACTTTGTCTTATTCTGTGTCTTTTAGTGTTGGGAATAACTAAGGTGGAGATTCCGAAAACTGATGCAATGGCAGAGTAATTAAAGTATAATTTTCTAAAAGAATATTTGGAAAAGAAATAACTTATATCATATAGATGGTTCTATCTAATCCTTAATTCATAGTCCAATTCTCACTATACTTTCTCATGGAGCTCATATTCTCAAACTTCTCAATCCTTCTCACCTTTCTTCTCTTTATCTTCATGGTCCTGAAAAGAGGGAAGACATTCAAAAACAATAATGAAACTTCAAATCTACCTCCAGGCCCACCGAAACTGCCTCTGATTGGAAATTTGCACCAGCTTGTTGGCTCTCTACCACATCGCAGACTCAGAGATCTGGCCAAGAAATCATGGACCCTTTATGCATCTCCAGCTTGGAGAATTTCTGCGGTTATTGTTTCATCGCCAGGGTTCGCGAAAGAAGTGATGAAAACTATGATATTATTTGCATCAAGGCCTTATAATCGAGCAGCAAGTATCATGTCTATGGTTATACTGATGTAATATTCTCACCATATGGTGATTACTGGAGACAGCTAAGGAAGATCTGTACATTGGAGCTTTTAAGCACGAAACAAGTTAATCTTTCCGATCAGTGAGAGAAAAAGAGATCGCAAGTAATTGATTGGATTGCATCAAAATCAGGATCAGTGATTAACCTTTCGGATAGAATTTGTGAATTAACATATGCTGTGACTTCCAGGGCAGCCTTTGGTAGAGTGCGTGAGATGACCAAGAACTATTCATATCTGCTGTCAAGGATATCGCAAGGCACTGGGAGGGTTTAATATTGCAGATCTGTTTCCTTCCGTTAATTGCTCGAATCCATCAGTGGAACGAATCGTTATTTGCGAAGCGGCAGAAGAATCTGACAGAGTAATTGAAAACATTACAACGAACGCAAGAAGTCTGAAAAGAGTGAAGGACATAACATCTGGTTGTTCTCTTGAAACTTCAAGAGCAAAACGATCTCAATTTCCATTAACTAACGAAAACATCAAAGCGGTAATCTTTGTAAGTACCTTCACCCTTGGAGTTGAACGCATAACTTAATCTCTGTTCTGTTTTTAATTGGTGCTCTAGTGGTTAAACTCAGAATCATGTAACTCCCTTTTACAGGACATGTTTGGTGCTGGCATCGAGACTTCTTCCACAGTACTAGAGTGGACAATTTCTGCATGATAAAGAATCCAAAAGTGATGGAAAGAGCACAAGCGAAGTGAGGGAAGTCTTTAAAGAATGGAAAAGGTTGATGAAACAGGTATTATTGAAATGAAGTTCTTGAAACTAGATAAAAGAGAGTATGAGGTTGCATCCTGCTGTTCCTCTGTTAATTCAAGGTATGTAGAGAGAAATGTGAGATTAATGGGTTCCATGTACCTGCCGATACCAAAGTCATTGTTAACGCATGGGCGATTGGAAGAGATCCAGAATATTGGAATGAACCTGAGAGTTTTAATCCTGAGAGGTTCATTGATAGTTCTATTGACTACAAGGGTACTAATTTTGAGTATCTTCCATTTGGTGCTGGAAGGAGAATGTGCCCTGGAGCTTCATTTGGTCTTGCCAATGTGGAGCTCCCACTAGCATTGTTGCTGTATCATTTTGACTGGAAACTTTCTGATGGAATGAAGAATGAAGATTTGGACATGACTGAGTCCTTCGGTGGGACACTCAGAAGGAAAAATGATCTGCGCCTGATTCCCATTCCTTATCATCCATAGCCTAATGCTTAGACTCTAAAGTAATTGATTTCTGTTTGTTTATGTTATCTGTCACCATTTACCTGTAACCACAATAGTTGGTTTGAGATTGATGTAATTTTCAAGATTATCACTTTTAATGTAACTACCTCTGCCTCTCCCTAATATTTTTCTGTTGAATCATACCACATTAATTTGAATACAAGAGTTTTATGTACGTTTGTTTACAAACAAATGTGGCATGATTTTTTGGGTAAACTGGAAATTGTATAGAATAATGAAAAAAATACAACCTAACAAGGGAAAGGGTCCCTTGGGGAAGAACCTTGGACAAACCCCAAAGGCTCTAACTACACAAAAGGAGCCACGGATATACAATCCCAAAAAACTCAAGACGCAAACAACAAGGAAACACTAGACAGACCTTGCAGCAGCATCAGACAAAAGAAGGAAGGTTAGCATATAAACATATACATCCTATCTATCTTCCACCCAAACGGAACCCCACAGGGCAAGCAAAAAAAAAAAAAAGACGGTGCCCTTGCAAATCAGATCTGTACACCTAACAACCTGAATAATTACAGCAAAAAGCGACCTTCGGCCACCCATAACCCAAACATCTAGACAATCCTTCCAACACACTAAGCAGGAAGGGAGAACAAGGGAGATTTGAGCAAAAAAACAGTTTCCAGCAACTAAGGAAGCACGGCTGCTGCACTAAAAGACATGGCCAGATCTCTCAGCTTCAACCAACAAACCCAAATGTGGCATGATTGTTTGACTGACATATCAGTCATTCACATTTATTGAGTATTTAATTGAAACGATATTTTATTTTTAATTCCATTGACTAAAATACTTCATCTAATATTTCTGATAAATAATTCATGGTTGTTGATAAGTACAGAGAAAATAACTCACCAAAGTTTAGATGACCTTTGCTTGATTCTCTGTTTTTTTCTTGGCCTCTTGGACTATCTGTGTAGACAGTGACAGATTCACTTAAACAAACAGATATTGCTTTTATTTGAGAATATTTTTGTTGCTTCCAAGATTTGGGCATGACCGAGGCTTTTATTATTATTGAAGAAAAGATGATCTTCAGCTCATTTCCATTCCTTATTATTGTTCAACTGCTGAATAACCCGGAAAGGAAGGATTATCTAGCTATTTATTTACATTAACTTGTACCAAGTGGAGCACTACATAATCAATTAGCATTTAGCTTTTAGCTTTTGTATCATTTGTGTACGTTAAGTCCGTTTAAACAAGGTCTTAAAGCTGTCAATAAGGTTTGTCTACAAGGTCAGGTTCGAACTTGTCAGTTGTCAACACATTTTTAATCCTAATTTTTTATTTTAATTTCAGTTTAGTTTAAAACTATCCATTTTTAATCCTAGGCGTCCTATTCAAGAAATCGCTATTCAAGAACACATGTGATTTGAGATTCGTATCCTGTTTTTATCTTTTATACATTCATGAACACGTGTTTTGAGATTCGTATCCTGTTTTTAACTTTTCTTATTTTTTTTAATTAACCATAAATTACAATCTATATTATTTATTTTTTAATTAACACATGTCAAAAAGCTGTTTAATATTCTATTCAATCTTTCTGAGCAACAACATCATTTCAATATCACTTTATCAACATTCTTGATTAGTAACACACCATATAAGAGAAACAATCTCAACACCTTAACCTTCCAACATACTACACAATCTCAATTCAACAAATAGCATAGGAGCCTCAGTCAACATATCAGCAACAAATTAAACACTTTGATCTCTGATCATTCAACAACAGAGAAAATTAAGCAGGCATTAAGCAGATAGCAGAGAAACAAACTCAACGCGTTAACCTTCCAACATACTACACAATCTCAATTCTGATTATCCAGACCACCAATGCATATCAGCAACCATATTCTGATTATCTAGACCACCAATGCATATCAGCACCAGATTAAGTACTCAGCAACCGATTAACACACTCTGATCATACAGAACACCAATACACATCAGCAACAGAAAAACTAAACAAGTATTACTCAGGTAGCACAGAAGTCACATTGAGTTTGTCTTTTAAATAAGTGAACTGATTGGAGGGAAGAGCTTTAGTTAAAATATCTGCCACTTGATATTCAGAAGCCACATATTGGACACTCACTTGCTTCTTTGCCACCAGATCTCTAACATAATGCATATGAATTTCGATGTGTTTGGTCCTAGCATGAAATACAGAATTCGAAGACAAGGCTCCAGCACTCATGTTGTCACACCAAATAACTGGACAACCATTTACCAAGATACCTATTTCTTCAAATAAATTTTGAATCCACACAAGTTCTATAGATGCTGTGCTTAAAGACCTGTATTCTACTTCTGTAGATGATAAAGTGACTGTTTTCTGTTTCTTGGAACTCCACTAGACCAAATTACCTCCAATGAATACAGCATACCCCCTGGTAGACCTTCTATCATCTATATCATTGGCCCAATCTAGCTGTACTATTTATTATTATTATTACAAAAAAAAATAATAATAAATAAATAAAAGTAAATTATACAGAAATAAAATTTAAACAAAAATCTAGCTGTACTAGACACAATTTGACAAATAAAAACTTAATATATTGGTTAATAAAAAATTTAAGAGAAAAAAGAGTAAATAAATTTCACTTTCCAAAATTAACACATGATTCGTCATTATAATATGAAGGATTTTTCCGTCATTTCAAAGCTAACATAGTGATAAGGGGTGAAATAGTAATTGACTCAATTTAACTTTACACTTGTAACGCCATCTAAGCCGAGAGCCATTTTCAGGAGGGTTAAACGCTAATCACTCAAGGGGTGCATAATAATAACCCTAACAATATTCTTCAGCTTTAATCCTAATTTTGTGTCATATTTAAGAAATCACTATTAGATTTAACTTCTATACATTCATGAACACATGTGATTTGAGATTCGTGCCCTGGTTTTCCTTTTTTTTTTCTTTAATTATTGGTTATAATCTACTTTATCTTTCCCCTTGTGGTCGAATGACAAATCTTTTAGCCATTAAAATTAACTATATCCTCTTGTATCATTTTGTATTTGAGTTACAGGAGCGGCAATTATCGGGTTTACCAAAAAAAATTATAATCTATTTATTTTTAATTCCATTTAGTCCAAAAACAGTTCAATATTTTATCCAATCTTTCTATAAACAATTGGAAATCGTTGAAAATACGTAGAAAAAAAAAAAATTAGCAGAGCATCACTTTGTCTTATTCTGTGTCTTTTAGTGTTGGGAATAACTAGGTGGAGATTCCGAAACCTGATGCAATGGCAGAGTAGTTAAAGTATAATTTTCTAAAAGAATATTTGGAAAAGAAATTACTTATATTATACAGACGGTTCTATCTAATCCTTAATTCATAGTCCAATTCTCATTATACTTTCTCATGGAGCTCATATTCTCCAACTTCTCAATCCTTCTCACCTTTCTTCTCTTTATCATCATGGTCCTGAAAAAAGGGAAGACATTCAAAAACAATAATGAAACTTCAAAACTACCTACAGGCCCACCGAAACTGCCTCTGATTGGAAATTTGCACCAGCTTGTTGGCTTTCTACCACATCGCAGACTCAGAGATCTGGCCAAGAAATATGGACCCTTTATGCATCTCCAGCTTGGAGAAATTTCTGCTGTTATTGTTTCATCGCCAGGGTTCGCGAAAGAAGTGATGAAAACTCATGATATTACATTTGCATCAAGGCCTTATAGTCCTGCAACAAGAATCGTATCTTATGGTTATACTGATGTAATATTCTCACCATATGGTGATTACTGGAGACAGCTGAGGAAGATTTGTACATTGGAGCTTTTAAGCGCTAAACGAGTTCAGTCTTTCCGATCAGTGAGAGAAGAAGAGATCGCTAAGCTGATTGATTGGATTGAATCTAAATCAGGATCAGTGATTAACCTTTCAGATAAAATTAGTGAATTAACATATGCTGTGACTTCCAGGGCAGCCTTTGGTAAGGTGCGTGAAGCTGATCAAGAACTATTCACATCTGCTGTCAAGGATATTGCAGAGGCGCTGGGAGGGTTTAATATTACAGATCTGTTCCCTTCCATTAAATTGCTCGAATCCATCAGTGGAACGAATCGTTATTTGCAGAAACTGCATGAAGAATCTGACAGAGTAGTTGAAAACATTATGAACGAATGCCAGAAGTCTGAAAAGAGTGAAGGTGATAAACATCTGGTTGATGTTCTCTTGAAACTTCAAGAGCAAAACGATCTTCAATTTCCATTAACTAACGAAAACATCAAAGCGGTAATCTTTGTAAGTACCTTCACCCCTTGGAGTTGAACGCATAACTTAATCTCTGTTCTTGTTTTTAATTGGTGCTCTAGTGGTTAAACTCAGAATCATGTAACTCCCTTTTACAGGACATGTTTGGTGCTGGCATCGAGACTTCTTC